TGCCACGTAGAATAAAGGCAGTTCTGAAGGCGAAAGGGGGTCAAACACCGTATTAGTATGGTGTTCCTAATAATCCTTTAGGTGAGTGTATACAGCAGGAGAGGGTTACACATTAGAGTATCACACCACACTTTGGTGTGAGGAAAACGGGACAAGTCCAGCAAGAAACGTTAGCGAGGACCCAACAAGTGATTGTCTGATCATCTGACAGGGACCCTCTCCCCCCCAATGGTGCTAGCAAGGGGGCCACTCTCGTAATTCAAAGCCTCATCGACGACATCTCAGAAACAAGCCAGATGTTGACGGATCCATCAGAGCAAAACGACGACTCCACAGACTGTACAGACCAAAACATGAAATGTGAAATAGAAACAAAAGCCCACAAGAGAAGGGCAGATGAAAACAAACAGCAAACGCACACAATTCAGTACCCACTCTCCAAAGCACAGCATGTGCTGATTAAACCATTCTTTCATTTACCTGTGACTTATATGTGACATGTGACGGTCAGGCTTCAAAAACATCTCCTCGAGTACACCACTCTCATCTGTCGCCCTGTGAACAGCTCTGCCATCAGCTGGTTTGTAGGTGAATGAAAAGACAAGCGAAATGATGCGGGTAAGGAGGCAAAAGACAGCGTGTCTCAAACGATGTTGGACCATGTACAGTTCTGGTCGCCCATAGCCCTGACTCAATTGCCGTCTTCACCTACTAGCACAGAGGCGGTGGAAGTCAAGTCTTTCAGCTCTCCCAGGAAGCCAGGAGAGTGCTGGGGCAAGGTAATGCCCTCCCAGCGGAGCTAGAAGTGCTGACGAATGAGCCAGCCCTGCGGGTCCCTCCCTGGGGGGGGGGGGGGGCTGTCAGTGGCTCAGCCTCCAGGGACAGCTGCCCCTGTCTCCCCATACCACTCTGAAGCACCATAGTGATAAACCAGGTTCAAAACAAGCACTTAGCCTGGGCGGTGCCTCTTGCACCAGAGAGACACTGCGTCAGGTCAGATTGGCGTTATCAGAGCAGCAGGGTAAATGAATCGGAGCCTATCCTGGAAGCTATGGGCTTAAGGCAGGGAATAACCCAGGATGGGGCACCAAGCCATCACAGGGCACACTCGCCATTCAGACACACATTCACACCTACGCACAATTTGGGATAGCATGTTTTTGGACTATGAGGGGAAACCGGAATACCTGGAGGAAACCCCACGACGACACGGGGAGGACATGCAAACTCCACACATGGAGCCATGAAGGAGACTCAAACCCTGGACCTAGAGATTTGAGGAATCGGTGCCAACCACTGTGTCACCGGGCCACCCCGTGTACAGACCGTACCTGGGAATGTCATTCGGCATCTCAAGCTGAGCCGCCACCCTCCAAAAGGGGGATCAGTGTGCTCGAGTAACTGGGATCCATGAAGCATGCGGAGACGGCCACGCCGAACACTGACGCATGCAATGACGTCACATTGTCCTGCCGCAGGATCAGGAAAACCCTCTGGAACCTCTAGTGGCTGAAAGCTCACAAAATAAGAATGGAGATCAGAGTCAGACTCGGTGCCACTGATGCCCCCCCCATTAACCTTGAGGATTTGACCCTCCCTCAGCAAGGCAGGGAGACTGGACACACCCTGCTGTTTGTGGTTCCACTCTCCCAATCTGCGCCCATCACAACACCTCCTTCCAGCCATTAATCCTAATGATCTATGAAGCACCTTGAAGGGCAGTGGGGGGGGGAGAGTGGCCCCTTTACCACGCCAGCGATGTCACCATGAAAAGCTATGTAATGCGACGCAAATCAGCCACTCGATAAACTGGAAAGGGACAGGGGAGCCTTCATTTAACCTTAAAGCACGCCTGCCCTAAACGTCCAAATATTTTGCCAGCAGCCAGGGAAATGGCAGGCACACAAATGGGAAGTCTGACCCGCTCCCCCAGAAGGCACCAAAGCCGGAACACAATGACGGGCTGACGTGCAGAGAGCCGTGGGGGGGGGATGAGACTCTGCTCAGAACGTGACATTTTTATCAGCCAGGGAGAGCATATCCTCACTGATAATCAAAGAGGACAGGGAAGGTACTTAAAGTAGGGCTGGAAACAAACACTGCCGTCAGACCGGGGATGTTACATCTGAGCAGTATCACGGGGGAGGCAGGGTGCTGAGTCATTGTAATAAATTGGA